GGCGGGGCTCGGCACGGTGAACTGACCCCAAAGCTGCTGCACACGCTGCGGCGCCGCTGCCCGCCCCGCCCGGGACATCGTCCGGCCTGAGCCCCCCTCCTTCCAGCACAGCTAAAGCTGCTCAGGCCTCGTAAGCTCCAGAGGGAGATTTAGTGGCTTTGTATTATTTAAAATGGAATTCCAGTGTTGAAAGACTTGTTTCTAGTGGTTAGGGGAGGAAACCTATTAAAATATGCTTGTTAAAATAGAGACATGGCAATAGGATTCTTAATTAATTTGCCATTTTTACCTATCCTTTTATCCCTCGAAAGACTGGAATTTGCTCTTCTGTGCTGGATGTTGTGGCTGTGGAGGATTGTGACCCAGGACGTTCCAATGGCACCATTCCCTTGGTTTTGCAGCAGTTTTGCTTGATGCTGATCCAGAACTCATTAGTCCTGAATTTCAGATCATTAATTCACATAAGACTAGAGAACAGTGAATATTTTTGGTGCAATACCTTTATTAATAGTTGCCTGAGTTCTGTCAGAGTCACGTTGTGCAGCTCTGTGTGCACTGAGGGGCTGAGCCTTGGTGTGCTGAATGCCTGGAAATGATCCAGCACTGTGGTGGGGGAGAATCATTCCCAGCACAGTTGAATAATTCATCTGCTCAGATGGGTCCCAAATACCTGCTTTTATTGTGGTTTTTTTTTCCAGGTTTCTTGTGCTGTAAGTACACTAAATTTTGCGTTTAGATAGAATATCTTACAATGCAAAAATGTTCTGTGATACCAAGGAAGTAATTCTTCTGTTGATATTTAAATACTTGATTTCCATTTGAGCTTCAAACTGTTTTACAGTGGAAACAGAAGGTGACACAGAGTCCCCAGCCCCTGTGTGTTTCCCAGGGAGTGGGCTCAGAGGCAGGGGGGGATGTGGCTGTTTCTGGGCCACGGCTGAACGGAGGGGACTGGACACTGCTGCTCAGTTATTGCAATCTTCTACCTTTTTTTGGTGGTGTTGAGGTGCCTGACAGCTGCCTCTGCAAGATTAACTGGGATGGTCGGAAAGGTCAGGGATTAAATTTCTGGGCTCTGAGTTGGCAAGAGATTTTGTCCTTTCGAGGCAATGTAGCAAAAAGCATCTGTTTGGAACCTTTCTTTAAAGAAAAAAGAATAAAAATGGGAAACTCCAGGCACCACCATTTTCTTTTAAAAAAGCCCTATTGCTCCTGCCTTTGGTTTTGAGGTTGCAGTTGCAGCAGGGACCTTTCTCCCCAGGAGTTTGGTGCTCTCAACCCTGTGTGGGGTTTCCTGCTCTTCAGCAGGTGCAAATTAAATTTTCCTGCTCTTTCCTAAACAACACAGAAAGCAGGAACCGAACAGAGGGAGAACAGGTGGCCTGGGGCTCTCCAGGGAAGGCTGTGGGCAGATTCTGGGTGAAGCTTGGAACCTGCCCTGAGCCTTTCCCAGAAGTTTCACAGGAAGGATTGATGTCCGGGGAACGGGGCTGTCGTTTCAGAGAGCCTGTATTGATTTGGTTTTAACTGAAGGAAGCCCGGAGCCTGTTTGCAGCTGGTTCTCTCTTGCAGGACGTGG